ATATGAAGTCACCATTTACTTACTTCAAAGGGTTTTAGTTTAGCGGAATGAAATCTATGTAAAGCTTCGTGCATTCTGATTGCTTTTTCTTCAAGCTGTGGTGTTGTCGGAGGAAAACTTCGCCAGAAGTGTCTCAACAACTCACATATACACACATACACGTTACGTAATTCCTTCTCTAAATCTTTCGGTATTAACTCTATAATATGTATATTTACATAATTATTTACCTATATTTATGTATTTATATCTATATATATTTAAATTAACAATAATAATAAATTTAAATTAATAACTAATAAGTTATAGACTCCTTTAATAACAATAAAACAAAAATTCATACATAAGGTTATAGGAGTTACTCTCTGGTTGTTGTAAATTTCGAGAATATATTACATTACACAATACCATATAATTTCGAAATTATATTAATCTCGAAATTTACAACAACCAGAGAGTAATTCCTATAACCTTATGTATGAATTTTTGTCTTATTTATTTATATTTAAATTATTTCACATTGACTAAAGAATGCAAAAAGTCACTAATGATAATTTACTAAATATTATATATAATATGTCATTTGTAATATGAAGAATATATTCTTACGTCCAAGACTTTCTTCTCGGAAACCTTTCATTAAAGATCCACCAGGTGTTAATTCACCTAAAGCTGATACTGCCGCAGCTGGACTAACTAAAGAAGTGGCTGCTTGTCGCGGTAATATACTACCGGATAACCATCCAGAAGCTTCTTTTTTTAAGTGATTTAATGTAATGAACAATTCTTCCAAAGTTGGTTCTGTACTTCCGTAGTTTGGTATAGGTCCATGCAAATATCTATCTACATGCATTAGATTTAACGGTGCTCCATTATTTGTATTTATGTCACAGCTCTTGTCAAGATCATCATAAGTTATCTTCTCTTGTATTCTACGCTGTAAAAAATATATTTAAAAAGGTTAAATAACCCATCCTCAATCCCACCAAACATAAATTGTAAATACATCAAATGGAGTGCAAAGTTGTACTTTTTTAGTCTTTGGTTCATCATCTAGTTCGTTGTTCGCTATTTTACTTGCAGATGGTGTAGATCCATTTAATTGTGGTTGATTGGTTTGTATCAACTGTTTGGCAGTGCTAGCTTTCATAACCATTATGCTATGTTGATTAAATCTCTTGATCATATTTTGATGTACTATATTTCCAGAGGTTTTATCTGCTTTACTACAACCGCTTCCATAATTTTCATCTAATGTTTGATCCTCAAAGGAAGTAATATCTACCAAAGGATCATTTATCTCAGTTTGAAGATCTTTCTTAAGTTCTTGATCATCTATTTTGGCACATTCGGTAAAAAGATCCTTGGTCCCAGTATTGATACGGTCTCTGTGAAAATAATGTGATTGAAAGAATTTTGTCCAGAAATCTGACTCTGACATTTTATGAGGCACATTTTCTTGATGTTTCCTTTTAACGGCTGGATAAGTCTTAAATATACATTCTATCACATCGACAGTTAAATTGTATTTTAATCCATTGCAACCGTCAGTTTGTGGCTTAATATCCGCCTAAAAAATTTGATCAATCCGTTATTCACAATTTATATGTTAAGCAAAAATCTAACATCTTTATAAAAGAAAGCATTATTACCAGGAAAGCACTATTAACACCTATCTCTTGACGTTGTATCTTTTTAGCTTGTGTATACTCTGCAGCATGTTGTGACCAAAATTCTTCCGATGATATAACTTGCGTGATTACTAGATCACGATATAATTGAAGCAACATAGGATGTTCTTGAAGAGTTCTAAAAAAAAGGAATGTGTTTGTAAATAAATTGTTCATCAATTATTTGTGAAGTACTCTTTACAAATATTAACTTAAATTAAATTAAGCCTTACCTATTTTTTTCTTCTAGCTCCTTGTTAACTTTTCGCTTAAATTTTGGTAGTAACTGTTGCAATAACTCTTTTACATCGTCGCGATCTTTAATTTGTGCTTCTTGTCCATTTTTATTTACAAAATGAAATGTGGATGATGTGCCATCATGCAACACCACCTGTAGTTGTATTTTTGATTTTCCCTCTGGTGATATTTTTTGCACTGCAAAGAAGGAATCAATAATTTCATTCGTTTATTGATTGATATATAATTTATATATTTACATACATTATTTGACAATAACATACATGAATAAACATATCATACATATATATGTATATAAACTAAAACATTAAACTAATTACATCAATTTGTTATACTTATACACAACTTTAAGTCTTACATTTAATATCAGCATATTTATGGCTGACAGAAACAGTATCTCTGTTATCAAGCATCCATGCTATTCGTTCGTTCATTACATATAAAGTACCATCCCCTTTTTTATAACGTACTTGACTCACTTGCATCAGCACATCTTCTGAGGATGTAGTCATGGTGGATGTGAAGCGTAATACAATTCTTTTAAAAACAGTAAATACAATCCTAAAAATTATATCCTATTAAGAATAATATGCACAGATATATGTATTATTTTAAGAACAAGTTATACTTATTATTCATAAAATTTTATTTTAAATAGAAAAAGATCGTTACTGTTCATAAATATACTGAACAAAAAATAATTTTTTATATAAGATTGACTGATAAGAATAATTATTATGGAAACAGAGAAAGTATCACTAATTTGCATGAGTGATGAAAAAAATTCTTATAAAGTCGTAGAATAGAAAATGTGAGACGTATTGTATTCCATAGAATTCGAGACATTTTCATGTCCTTGAATATCGCGCGATGATTGTATTCGATGCCTCTTTGTATAATCACTTCGAATCTTTGGGAAAAAACACATGAAGAGTGTCGCATGATGAGTGTAACATGATCACGACGAGAAATAGTTCCGAGGAAATAGCAATTCGCGTCGCGGTGTCAAACAAATACCAAAACGATGTCTGTGATAAGTGGTAAGACCCAGACCCATCCAAGTAACAGTGAAAGATAGTCGTGCATTTCCCATCGACCAAGTATTTCTCGTGTCGCGAAAATCAGCTTTCCACATATTTCAGTGAGAAAAACGCGTGTTTCTCGTTAACAACGAGTAAAATTCGTTGTAAAAACGCACGTTTACCAGTGGCGGATCGCCGAATGCCACGGAACAACGTGAAGATCCGTCGAACGGCACGGCCATGTGCAGAAACACACCACGGCAGTAGACGCATCGCAAGCGCGGCCACGGCCACGGACGGACGACAATACCATCGACGGCATCGACATCGACCTATGCCGATCAGTGCCGATCTATCAGGCGACTGACGGCATTAAGGCTGGTATTCATAGTCAGTTCTTATACACTGCTTTCCATTTGATGACACAAATCGACACAAGCATCGTTCTATCCTTCTTGATATTCAGAGAGTGACAAAGCTAGAACGATACTTGCGTCGACTGTGTCTCCTAAAAGGAAAGCAGCCATATTCAAGATCGTCTTAAGTTCAGCCTTGAGATGGCACGAATCAATCAGAGAGCCGCATTAGCGTATTAAGGCATTACTTAAGACGGTCTTGAAATAAGAACCGACTATGGGCCAGTTTCACCAACGTCGATTAAGGTTGATCGTGATCAACTGTCAACCGTAATTGGTCAATTCTTCTAAACAGCAAATGCGATTGGTCAGTTAACGGCCGCATTAAGCTGGTTTTACATTAATCGCATCGCAGCGTTGCAAGCGTTGCAGTCCAATCAGAGTCGAGCTAGCCTGACGTTGATTGGACCGCAACGCTTGCGACGCTGTGATGCGACTAATGTAGAACCAGCTTTACACGTACAACAATGGCTGCGTTCAGCAGAACGTTTGTTTTGCAACTGTTGGAAGTTTCCTTCGCGCTAATTGGATCATACTTTTAGATCTAGAAGAATGGTCCTATCTCAGCAGACAATCATAAAACGGTTGCAAAACTGTTGAGTCTGCTGAACGCAGCCAATTTTAGTCGTAATCGTAAGGCTGTAAGCAAATCGGCCAATCACAGTCGAGCGTTTAAAAACACGAGATCTTAATTTTGATTGTGATTGGTCGATTTGCTTGCGATCTTACGATTCCGACTAAAATTTTTGTACGTGATGGCCTTTATGACGACGCATTATGGCCCGTTTACAATACACGTAATAAGCTTGGTTTAAGAAGTAAAAGTAAAAAATTGACCAATCACAGTCGAAGAATAATCGACATTGGATATTGTTTATGCCGCTGTAAATATCGCCTCACTGATTGGTTGCTGCTCCGCTGCGTCCGTGCTTGACGCTTGCTGCGTCCAGTGTGAATTAGGCATTACTTCTTAAACCAAGCTTACTATGTGTATTGTAGACGGGCCTTAAGACTGTCGTACTATTTGGTTTATTCAGCTTATACTTTTTACACTCAGCATCTGCGCTTTCTTTCTTTTCAGTGCCAAATATATCTATCTCATTTTAAGTGTAAAAAGTGTAAAAAAGTGTAAACAAGTCGACTCGACAGAGCTATTGTATATATGTATGTATGTACACACCATGGACCATGGTACACAATAGTGAGCTGAGCAACAGTTGAATGAGTCGTGGTGAGTTGTACGGGTGAGGTGTCGGTGTATCTGCGACACCTTGAAATGTCAAATTCGGCGAAAATTTACGGTAAGTCCGATTATCATCGCCACGTGAAAGTTGCGCCCACAGTCGCGTGCGTAATTTTCGCAGTTGCACTCGTCGCTATCCGGACTCGTCCAATCGGATGCCGATTGCCGCATTCTGTTACATACTTTTTTTTCAATCCAAAAGTCTGAAAAGAAAAAGTCCTGCGTCGTTTCGTCCTTTCCCTTTCCCTCCACTGTCTCATTGATATCGCATAGGTATCGTGATTAATTGCTACGACGGGCTATAAAATTACCACGTCGTGCTTCCTACATGTTATGAGACAGGAAATAGCCTCCCTCCTCTCCTCCCCCCTCTCTCTTTCTTTCTTTCTCTCTCTGCGTGGATTTTTGATTGTCGTGATGATCGAGTGATCTGTCAATCGCGAAGTAGGCGTTAATACGTTCGCGCTACGAGTGCTACGAATGCTATGAGGCGTAGCTAACAATGAAGTAACGCGAAACATATTCTATTGGCAGACGACACATGTTTATTTTGCAAATGTACGCGAATTTGATAAATTGTAAATAGTGAGATAATTGGATAACGGAGCTATCACGACATGTACTGATGTATGTACACACTGAGCAGGGGGAAGCTCCTCCCCCACTCCCCTCAAATTTGACAGGAAGAAATAATTAATGGTAGAAGTTTGTATAATAGTTTCTTTTATTTATTTTCTTTCACAAATAAGTTTTAGTATGTGTTTCTGAATAACATATTATATTAAAAAACGGCATTGATATCTTTATTAAAAAATAAAATAACGAAAAATTTACATTGCACATTATTTTTGTTCCATCCTTTTTTTGATACTGTATATACTATTTATATTATATGTATAACAAGCAATATTTTTTTAGAGGAGTAAAAAGATGCTATGGCAGCTTCGATTGTATCACGCAACGATGAGGAGTTGAATGAGGAAACAGAATCAGAGGCCAGTAGTATATATCAAGGATCAGTAATCTCTACCGTACCTGATCGTCACGGATTTCTAGGCGGTTCACAATACAGTCCAGAAAGGTAATTTAACCTCTTTTTAACATGACAACATTTCAATAAGTGTTTTCAAGAAGTTAAATTTTATTGTAATATAATGACTTTATGAAATAGGAAACAATCTATACCACCTGATGTGATATTGCGAAGGGAAAGAAAATGGATACAGATGCTGAACAATTGGAGTCTTTTTATGACTACGAATTACCGTAAAGTCCGTGAGAGATGCCGCAAAGGTATACCACCTTCTGTGAGACTACGCGCCTGGCTAAACCTATGTGGTGGTCAGCTTCTAATGAACGAGAACCCAAATTTGTATGAAGAACTGATCAAACGACCCGGTGAGTCCAAATACATAGAAGACATCAAGAAGGATCTCCATCGTCAGTTTCCACATCATGAAATGTTCGTCGAGAATGCACCTGGACAGCAGGAACTGTTCCAAGTTCTCAAGGCGTACTCCATTCTGAACAGCAAAGTGGGCTACTGCCAAGCTCAAGCGCCTATCGCTGCATTTTTGCTGATGCATATGCCGGCAGTGCAAGCATTTTGGTGTCTCGTTGCGATATGTGACAAGTATCTCATCGGTTATTATAGTCAGGGCATGGAAACGTTGCTGCGCGATGGAGATATTCTCTTCGCTCTTTTGAAGAGAGTCTCGCCCGTTGCGTATAAACATCTAGTTAGTACACATGAATTCTTATGTAAATTTTCTATATAATTATATCGATCGTTTTAGAAAAACAAATTGAAAATCAATTTTAATTATACGTGGAATTTTTTTAAAACAACTCTGTAGTTAATAGAATTTTTATGTTTCTCGAACAATGTAAATAAGAATTTTATAATAAAATTTTTTTTTTTTTTTTTAAGTTATAGACTGATCATAAATTAGTTAGGGATTTAATTGATCGTATTTACTATTTTAGAAAAAACAAAAAATGGAACCAATCTTATATATGACGGAATGGTTTTTGTGCGTTTACACGCGAACATTGCCGTGGGAAAGTATCTTGCGCATATGGGATATGTTCCTTTGCGAAGGCGTGAAAGTGATCTTCAAAGTAGGTCTGGTACTATTGAAAGGTAGTCTAGGTCGTACTTCTCTTACCAAACGTTGTCCAACGACATACGAAACCCTCCAAGTGCTGAGAAATCCACCCCAACATATCATGGAGGAGGAGGTCTTGGTTTATCAGGTGCACACTTTTTTACGCAAATATGAATATTACAAAAGAATTACATTTATTATAAACGATATTTTTTAATAAACTATTATGTAGTTAAGTTAAATTGATAATAATTACTATATAAAATTGGTAAATTTATTTCTAATTTAATTTTTTTACATTTTTCAAAGATTTTTATTTTAACTCAAACGTTTTTTCGGTATGGCATTTTTTCTAATGCTTTTGCAATGTTTTTTCGATTGCTTATTTTTTTTATATGAAGATATATACTGTAATTTACTATTATGTTTTTAACATGGCATTTTGATTGAAAAACATGTCTTTTACAATGTGTTCATTTTTATGAAACAAGCAAAATCAAATTGGGTTGATTTACCATATACCAGTGTTATTTCTATGATGATACATTAAGGGTTAAAATTATAAGATTTTAACGTAATTTTTATGCTTTTATAAATAAGATGAAATATTATATATTATCTGTATTTTTCTTAATGCAGATTCAGAGGTTGAATTTGAGCGAAGAGGATTTTGAATATGAGCATCAGAGGCAAATGTTGAAAAGAAAGGCGGCGGAGAAGGAAACTGCCAATCGAACTGACTGATGATTAAGTAGTTAGATGAAAATATGGGGCGAAATGTGACAACATTTTAACGTATAGCGTCTCAACGTGTGCCTTCCTTTCTGTTCTTTTGATACTGTATCCGCAATTTGTATGTTAGAATTTTTTTGTATTGTAAAATCCAGAGATATGATAAAAAACGGATAGGTACATACACTCTCAAAATACACTACTCAACAAAAAGTAGGGAACACTCGAACACGCTCAAAATTGCACAATATTCAGAACACTATAAAAGTAAAAGTGTCATTTTTGCTACAATGTTCAATAACTCGATGAAAAAAAATCGTAGAACGATCAATAAAAAAACAAATTGAAAGTAAAGATTCACTCTTTCGAATGCTGTGAACCGCATTATTGTGCAATTTTTAGTACACGCCACAGACCTTTGTCAAATTTAATCAAAATTTTCAAATTTGACGGGTATCCATTTGTATCCACGTAGCTCCATGAAGGATCGATCAAATTGAAATATCGATTACCGATTTGAAAAGTAGAGATTTCACGCTTTAAAATGCTTTTTCGATTTATTTTCTGCGACGATTTTTTACCGAGTTATAGTGTTCTGAATATTGTGCAATTTTGAGCGTGTTCGAAAGTGTTCTCTATTTTTTGTTGAGTAGTGTAGAAAGTGGTTTTTCATATACTTTGTGCACACATACGTATACATATCTATATTCCCTGAGCAGCTGGAGTGCATTATTTATCTCTATTTCCTTCATTATTAATTCATTATCAGTACGGATTCTATTAAAAAAAAAGAGCACAATACATTTGCAGATTCATGTAATACTACTTAATTAGTATTTTCTCATTAATGTATTTTTAGTTGATTATCAATATTTATGTACAAAAATTTATTGCATTTTAAAAATAAAAGTATATTATAATGTTATACTAAATAAATATTATCTTTCGTTAATGCCGATCTCATCTTATATTAACCCTTACTAAACGAATTTAATTTTAGATTACATCTTTATAATAATATAATACTTTCCTATAGGCACATAATATTATTTAATTTTAAATAATATTTTAGGCATATTTCCAGAATATTAAATAATATTCTTGAAACATTAATGGATGGTTATATGTCCACTCCTAATAATATTACATGATTATTAAAAATAACATTATTTAGTGTTACTGTAATATTGTATGAATATTAAAAAGTATCATAACACACACATTTACTTTAATTTGTGAAACTGTTATGCCGATTTAGTTTAAAAGTATGTTTAAAGACTGAAAATAATGTTTGCGTGCAGTAGGACTGGATATGTACGTAAAATCACACTGAAACATTATTTAAGCACAAGACGCAGTATAGACTGATAAGACATTTTCGTTACTGGATTGTGAATTCAAACTGCACTAATATTAAAAAAATTAATATTGATAAATATTTTGATAATATTTCAGGGATGTTAAAGGAAATATACCAAGGATATTTATACAAGTGGACATATGTCTCATAACTCATAACATTAAAAAATATACAATATTCTCAATATATTATATAATAACTTATTTTAATTTTTTAAATAATATTTATATAACATTCTAGGAATATTTTACGCCTATAGGGTTATAATAGCATAAGACTTTGTAGATACACTTATTATTATTATTATATATTATTAACTGATAGTACAAACTCTGTGTACAACTTGTTGCCTTTCTGCAATCAAAAATTGGTAGCAGGCTCTACTCTAAATCTGTCTCCACAGGCTTTGCTATTTTAAATAACCGGTTATTTTGAAGTAAACAGTTAACTGTTGTAACCGCGGCATTAATGAAAAATAACCGTTTATACAGTAAATCCCTATTATACAGTAAATATTTCTTTTGCAATTCTTTTCCTTTATCGATCGCGATTCAAACACTTTATACAGAACATACATTCGATAGTATTTTCAATCTCATCTAATGTAAGAATACAGTACATTTTTTACTTTATATACGTGCTCTCAGCTAGTTGTGTTGAAGTTCTGCCAGTGATTACGTTTGTCTATGGCATTCATTACAAATGTTGTCAAACGCAAAAAGTCATCGTTGTCGGCTAATCGCGCGTTGAAAAGTTCTAAGTGCGGCAGTTTCGGTAAAAATAATACACCCATCATAAATAGAAGTGCCATGCTAATGAATGTGCCGATCGCCACGAAGAGTGGATTCATAAGCTGCTTCTGAGTGCTCTCTGTGGTTTCCGTAGCTGCGTACATTGGAATGATCTGTAAAACAATGTGAATTAATACATTAAATAAGAAAAGGCTAAGTATGACTCAAATACTATCAATTTTACAGAAAAACAGCAAGAGACAAAAATTATTTATTTTCTTCTCATAAAGTTCTGAGAATTTTTTCAGAATTTTTTAATATCATATTTTCTCATGTGGATAAAAAATTACATTTAGGATAAAAAACTGTAACAATTAAAAATACTTCTTAATTTTTGTTTCCAGCAAAAATTACAGCCGCTAGGATATACACAAAATCATAACTTCGTGGCGAGGCGCCAAATTAAATGTTGATATTTTCATTATTTATAATACTCTTTTTTTTCACACAAAAATTTGTACGTATTCTATAATAGTTATATTAAAATATGCACAAAATTTTAAAACGATAAATATTGGTCTTTTTTTTTTAAAAAAAATTTCGAAAAATTACCATTACATTTTTTTCGATCTAATGTATGAGACCTCCTAAATATCTGTAATATTTCGTGAAAAAAAAAAATCTGAGCAATAGGTATGTTTCGTATTGTACAAGCTCGCGCACGCTACGTTGATTGTGTATTAGCATTTCGACATAAATCAAAATAGCGGGCACACTAATATACTTGCGTAAAATCTGGTTACACCGGATTGCGGCACCGGGAAAAATCTGCGGCTCGCGCCTAACGGATGGCGCAACGGATCCATGACTTTCGCTTACCGCAGCTTGGTGATGATCTCTCTGCAGCTCAGACGCGAAACTTTTTAGCGGGAAGAAGTAATAGTTGTACATCGATTTAACCGGTAGCTGCGGATGACCGGCCTCGGACGGCGTGTTGCCGTTGCCGTTGCCGCCCGCGGCATTGAGAGCATCCATCAACGACGCTACGTTGATCGCTGACCCTTTTTCCAAGGCCTTTTTGTATAACGCGGCCAATTCCGCTCGTGTAAACGCTAGCGGCTCCGGTTGTTTCACCTTCGGGTGACTAGTCATAGCGGTGGAGTCGCGTACCTGAAAAATTTGCAAGCATACCTAGCATTCAGATTAAAGAAGAAATTGGACAAATTAACATTTTAAACAATTAAAATAAATAGGCAGAGATAGAAGAGACAATTATGAATAATTATCATTTTCAGGTTACTAGAAAGGAATAATTAAGTTGAAAAAACATTGAAATTAAAGAAATCTGCTTTTAAAGGATAGAAATAAGTGTTAAAGAATATTAGGTTAAGAAAAAAGTCTTTTTACAAGTTGATAAAAAGACTTTTAGCAACCCATATATTCTATTTTTTAAAAAATTAGCAATTACACTACTTGATAAAGCAACGTTTCAGATTTAAAAATATGTATTCTTAATTGCGATACGACGCTTTTGAACGGAGTTACAAGCAATAAAGTCAGAATGTTCCTTTTTACTTAATCCGCGAGTAACTCAGGAAGAAAAAATCGTAAGAACATTTTAAAAAAATGATTTTGTAGAGAAAGCTTCATGCTTTCACGATAGATTATCGAAAATTTGCTCAAATTTTTTTTGGGCACGCTACAGACCTACAAAGTAAAAAGAAAGTTTTTCTTTTTTTTCAGCTTGTAGTTTTCTATATATGTAAAAATTACAAAACTCATATAAATTCAAACAATATAGTAACTATTCGAAAGTAGAGATTTCAAGCTTTAAAACCCTTTTTTCAATTAAAATTTTTATCATTTTTAACGAAGATATTGGAGAAAGATCTTTTTACCAGCTTGTAAAGGGACTTTTTCCCTAACTCAATAAAAATATAACAAAGAATTATCAAGCTTTTGAATTACCAACGATTAATAACAAAATTAAAAAAGAGTTTAAAAATAATGAAATTGATTTTTATTTTAAAAAGTTAAAATAAATGGAAAAAGATAGAAAAGACAATTATAAATAACAATTAAGCTTCCAGATTACTAATGATCAACAATTTAAGGAAAAAAATTGAATTTAAAGAAATCGATTGTTGAAGCATTATAATAATTAAACAGAGATAGAAAAATGGTATAAAAGGATTATCAAATTTTCCAAAGGTTACTAAAAATTAATAATTAAACAGAAAGAGATTGAGATTAGAAAAGATGATAAATTGAAAAATAATAATAAACATAAAGGATAAAAAAGAAATGCGAAGGAATAATTATTACGTTTTCAATCTAAATACCAAAGATTTAAAGTACGTTTACAAGAAAAATCTCTATAAGAATTTCTTCTAATTTTTTCTTTTCACTTTTTTGTAAATTAGATTCATTTAAAGTAAATTTACGTACCGCGTAATACTGCCGTATAATGTTGCCCGTGGATTCGACAGGAACATCCGCAATCGCCTTCTGCACGCCTTGATGGACATTGTTGATACCGACCTTGCGATGCTTATTGTGATCATGATAGCCCTGCTGATAGCCTAGGTTCATCGACGACAATCGATCGTACATCGTTAGACTATTAGACGGCATATTTAATTCTTGGAGCTCGATCATTGCCTTCTGAAGGTATTCGCCGCTCGATTCAGCGACGCATAATCGTGTGTTGATAATGATCAGTGAGATTAATACAGTGAGCCGCGTTGCTCGCGATCTCCGTGATAAATTCATACCGAATCGCTTTTATGGAGTTTTTGCATCTATCGAAGAAAATAAATGTCTGATTTAATAATTTGTTAATACGGTTCCGTTTACATTTTTAAAATTTTATTTCAGTTTATTATATTTCTTGCAGGTACACTTGCAATAAAACATTTAAAATGTTTAAATTTATATCATATATCTTATAAGGGAAGATATACCTGACCTCAATCGAATTCGATGAAATTTAATAAGATTATGAAGTGAATTTCTCCGAATATAATGCAGATGACCTTATTTAGAGGCCGACGATTAACCGTTTCTGAAATATCCTATTTGAAAAATCCATGTTAACATCGAATGTCTGTGGAATCTCTCGAAGTATATTATTGCCTCTTTTCCGCGATGCTGATTGGTTCACTCTATGCGCTTACTTCGTGAACGGTTGTCATTGCATTGATAACGGTTTACGTCGTTCACGAAGTAAGCGCATGGATTTTGACAAAAAAAAAAAGGTTATAGTATAGTGGAATTATAATGCAGTTTAATAATGTCAAATACTAAATAGCGCGCGCGTAACGCGCGCCTGTTTTGTACTAGTTAAAAGTTACTAGTTAAAAGGAAAAATCCAAAAATGGCTGAAATTAGTCCAGAGCAGATACCTAAAAATTTGATATGTCAAACAAATTGAAAAATAAATATATATGTATGTATGACAATTTACATATACTTGATCATACAAAAATATAAAGACAAAAATGCATTATTTGAATTACTTATAGCAATAATCATGTAATTTCCCTGTATTTCCTGTGTGGTTGTAAAAATTATTTTTCTCCTTTGCATATTTTAAGACAGTGTCTTTTATGTGTTGATTTAGAATTAATTTTGGCCACTTTTTTCTTTAATATTGCAAACGACTGTCTGGCCTAAATAGGAGTATCATTATATTCGAGGAATTCACTCTATATAATTCTGCCAATTAAATTTCATCGAAATCGGCGCAAAGATCAATTCATAGTCTTCTATTAGCATCTATTCGCTTTTTTAAAAAAACAATAAATTGTCTAAATATGTTATTTAATAAAACTTCTGTAAATTCTTTCATGTTTGGTGGGACATGTATAAGGCATTCCACGTCAAACCGGGCACCTTTGAAATATCGTCATTTTGTAATTTTCAGGATTACTTCATAATTGAAGTAGGAATATGATGATATTTTTACAAAATTTTTAAATTGATGAGCCGATGATGAAAAATGTTAATAAAAATTGTAAATAAATGGAAAATGATTTATTTATATGAAAATGATAAATTAAAAATAACCCATCCATAAAACAGAATATTAAGATATTTAAAATTGGTCTCTTGCATTTTTTTTGTACAACTAATGGTTTCGACGATATAATAATTTGAATGTTCGCATGAGCGACGTTTTTTATGAATTTCTGCAACTTACAAGCGTGAATAATTTTACAAAGAGAATCTTAAATTTTTTTCGTTAAATATGTGTTTCATATTTTTATCTGTAGAATGTCAGTAAATTAAAAAAAAATTTAAAAATGACGATATTTCAAAGGTGCTCGATTTGACATGGAATGCTTCATATGTATATCATGGTCTTTCAAAAAATATCTTCCACAGAGAAATAAAAATAGCTACTTCTTTCTTACTTTAAAAATAGCATAGGACTCTTTACAAAAAAATCAGTACCCTCATAAGTTTCACCCTTTGATCTACATACTTCGTCAAATACTCGTAAAATAGGATAAAGATGAAAAATACATATCTTCCACAAAAATTAAGATAACGAATTCTTTGTGCGCTCATTTTGAAGGATAATAAATATTATATATGTACAAATAAATCGCTATTTAATTTCAAATTACGGATTTTTCAATGTGACAGACCAAAATGATAAATTTTGTTGTATTCACATGTAAATTGTAATTATTGAGGTCATTGATGATGAATTTGCAGTAAAAAATTCAACATTTAAAATGATGAATTCAACTTGGCGGACTAAATTTTGTTAGATTTGAGTGAAACTCGAGTCGCTAATTACGAATATAAAGTCGAAATTTTTAAATTCAAGATGTCAGATCTAATGCAGCTGAGAAAATGTAAATAAAAAAGGCCGAATCAGTTCTATTTACATTTCATGGGAATTTCTTGAAGCATGGGACAGAGGATGTGAGATAGAATTTCATTAAATTGAAGAAAAATTTTACATTTTAGTCCTCCGTATTGGATCTGCCATTTTGAATTTTGGTTACAGATTCATAATCTGCGATCTTTAAAACCTTTACTAAATAAGACGTGAATTTTAATGACGTGAGTTTAAATGCTAATTATTCCTAGAAAAAAAAGTCAGGCTGAAAGGTTTAAAACACTTTTTTTCTTAATTCTTTTTGAATTTTAGAGAAAAATGCTAATCTATTACATGCGTATGTTTGTAAATTAATATTCTTATGAATAATTTTAATAGAATAATTAAAAATTAATTGATAATTAATAACTGATTATTTAATTTCAATTAAAAGTATTGTGTATTTACATATAGTACGAGGATTTCTTACGTGTTTATTATATATATTCTTATATCTCCGCGATCTCCGCGATATCATTGTAGCCGAAATACATTTTCACTTCCGGACGTCACTTGTGCTTTACAAATTACATGTATATTTCACAAAATATAAAAATAAGGGTGTGGTTCAATGCTCTTTCATTATTGTTTTTTATAGCCACTTAAATTATTTATATTTACTTATAAAAATAAGAGATATCTATCAATATTAAGTATCATCTCTTTCGATTTCTGAACAATACAGAGATTAAAAGAAAACCGGATGTGATATGGGAAATCGGACGAGTTATTGCATTACGTGATAAACGATGAAAGTGTTATATCATTTTGAAATTAACACCGCTTTTAAGATGAGATAATATTCAAAATTACGCATGCAGGAAGATCAGGTTTCTCCTGCGAGAGAAAGAAACGGGAAGTGAATATAAGCAGCACATCATTAACGGAATCAATTTACAATTTATATTTACACGAAAGAAAGAGATTTTCCGTTGCGAACCGCTCCGACACGCGGATATATATGCAACTGTCCACGATAATCAAAGAGTCAAATAAATTGACCTGTGCATCGCTCTTGAAATTGCGCACGCGGTTGTCTCGCGACGGACGTACGTCGTAGCCGGAAAACTTGTGCGTACTCGATCGAGGTGAATCGTCGCACTCGTTCGTGAAGTACTATCGCGAACGCACTGAATTAACTTCCTTCACCGGTACATATCCCCTTCCCTCATATACATGTTTGAATCCTTGAGAATGGACACTGGACTACTAAACACTTTCGGCTATTATACCATATATACAATTCGGTCGGAATAAACGAATAAAATCAATCTAGTAGAATAAAAAATAATTGGTTCAACAAATTATAAAATTAAAAATCAAAACTGAAACTATATGTTCGTATTAACCTTGAATTGAATTTTATACAATTATAGTTGGTCTTGAAAATTCCATTAGAGAAGACTGAAGCTAAGTCAACTTTTTAGTGTTGAATTTTTACAGAAAACTTAAAAGCTTATTCACAAAACGAATTCTGTACCATCAGTTACATACATTTGACTATTTAATATTTTAATATTAAGCATTCGAATCAAATGATTGCGTCGCTCACAGTGGTTGCAAGGCAATCGTAAGTAAAAAACTACAAAGTGTCATGAAATACGTAAAAAGTAGATAATCGTGGAGCAGTTATTATTTTATTTCGCTTTAAACATTTAATTTACAATTTTCTTTACTATACATGTAGAAAAGACATTGATTTCGAAATCATCATACTTTTGATTTCGAAAAAATAAAAAATTAGTTCGAAAAAAAGGAAAATGATTATTTTTTAATTTTAATGATCCAGCAAATTACAACGTGTAACTTAGATATAGACATAATATTACACGAGTGTCAGAAACGTTACATGTAATATTATTTGTAATGATAAACATAATGTACAGCTTTTTATATCAGCAACTTTAAACATATATCCTTTCTATATATACTATTATTCTTCAGAAATATACCAATAATATATTACTGTAATGTAATATAAATGTCTTCTTTATATATTTACATATGTATGTACAAAATAGATATAATAGTGATAAAAATTGACGCTACGGATAGTAAAAAGTGAAAAAGATGCAGCGTTGTGTATGTAACATTCAATTTTGAACTGGTCGTGAGTAATCTACAGGGCTACGTTTGGGTCGAAGAGACATTATTATAGCTGTTTGTATCTTCTGTCTATATTGTTTATTAGATGTAAAACAAGAATAGAACGACAAAAAATATTAATAGCATCTCCTAGAATGCATCCTTGATTAATAGTTGGATAAATTCAACGTATCTATAGTATTAGGAGTGTGATTTAGTTTTCAAGATTTTTTTTTCTCAAAAACTGATTTATTTAAACAACATATCATGTAAACGTTTAATAACTTGCTGTACGATCAACATTTAATTCTTTGGCAAGTTCTGAAGTATTCGTTTGAAATAAAGGTTTAAAGAAATAAAGATTTAAAGAAATATTTTTTAAACGGTCGTTTAACGTTTAGTAAATATTCATTTCACATTAATTATTTGTTTGAAATAATGGTTTAAAGAAACATTTAATGTTTTTTAAACGTTTATTTGTAGTTAATTTTACGTTTTATGATTCGTTTTCAAAATAACATTTTTTAAACGTTTATATGAACTTTATTAAATGTTGGTTTTTTGTTATTCATTTATTTAAAATATTTTATTTAATTAAAAACACATTTATTTAATGTTTATCTAACGTCTATTATAAATATGTAAAAAATGTTATTATTTTCTAAAACTCAAATTAATAGAAAACGGATCGGAATAATGAAATCACGGAAGAGAAGTTAACACAATATAATTGCGTTAAGTATACATATATGGACAATAAGAACTGTGTGCATCGATAGTTATAAGTGGCGTAACGGATAAGGTACGAGACTCATAACCGGTGTTCCGATCGGTGCTCCCTTTCTGGTGCATGCGCATTGATGCGGCAAAAAAGACAGTGGTGACAATGGCGTTAGCCGTTCGTGGTGTAGTGTGATGAGCGCAAGTCTTGGCGGACGGATCAACGTGCTCCAAATCCAAATGCTCCCCGAAGAAGCTTTCACCACTGGATCTCAGGATCAATAGTTTGGCATGCATTTCAACTTTTCTTTATAAACTCTTCAGAAAAAAAATATATACATATATCACATTTTCAGTTGTGGGTAATTTGATGGGGATATAATGGTATATCTTTTCGTCCGTGCTAGATACTGCACTGATACTGTTCTTGACGCGCATGCGCTAGAAAGGGAGCACCGATCGGAACAACTGCTTATAACCCTGAGGTCCCAAGTTCAAAATCCGGCCAGGAAGTGAAAAAAATTAAAATATAATTAAGAATTAGAATTAATTAGTAAAATTAGTTGTCTAAGGTTTAGGCACTGTTGATAAAAAAAATAAGTTAAAAAAAGATTCTACGTTATTTTTCTAATTTTGTTCAAATAATTTTAACATTAAAAAATGTTTTTTTAACGTTAAAAAATGTTTTTTAAATGTAAAGGAAACGGTTTTTCAATTAATAAAAAAAGATCTATCCCATTAATTAAACGTTTTTTAAATTTTTTTTTTAATGTTTTTGCAATGAAAAAAACGTTTAAAAAACATTTCAAAAACATTTCTTTGCTGATTGGGTCAACGTATGCCATCTTTTCTACATTTGATTTTAATCATTTTATTATAACAAATTACTGTTATTACTACTTAAAATAAAATGTAATAGAAACATTTCTGTTGACTAATAATACGTCACCTAAATTTATTCTCTCAAGCTGAAGAACATTAATACGAAATTTTAAAGCACCCGAAAATATATTTGTTCTTCTTGAATCAGACTTTCACTTTTTTATTGTAACATTTGTTTAATTTAAATAAAACTTAAGCAAAAATACCTATGTTATAAAAGATATTTTTTGGTAACTTTTCCATTTCTTTTTTTGCTATGAATATAAAACGCAATGTTATCTTGTCTCTTGTATCAACGAACCCCAGTTTTCCCTATTTACAAAAATTATTGCCATAAAAAGGTTCATATACATGAATAAATATTTAATAGTGATTAATTGTAAATCAAAGTTAATACGATTATCTTTCACAAAATTTATGATATTTCGTCAGTAATTTGCGCAATTCAAGATGTTTCCCTGTTAACAGGGACTGAAATTTCGGTCCGTTTACGGTCACAGTCAGAGGCTGTATCCAATTTTCGGTTTCGATTCCGGTTCCGATCCTTTTACAGATAACAGTTTCGGTCTTTTTCGGTTCAGAATCGGAAAAGTTCGAAATCCAAGCGATTTCAGCTCTTTTATCGATAACGATGACCATAACCGTTTAGATTTTAATTTTGTTTTTTACGGTTACGGGTGTATGATTATCTATTGTAGAAAAAGATAATACAATATGCATAAATTGTATATAAAAATTCACGTTTATTGAAAGGAACATTCTTTAAAAGAAATCTGGAACGGGAGATATGTAAGCATTGTAATCATTTCTTTCGTTTCTTTGCTGCACTTTTGTCTTCTACATCAACGTCAACAATTCGCAGCGTTTCAACTGGTTACAGCTTGTTGATCATTTTCTATAAAATAACATATTAATCTTACGCAAATTATCATAATCAAGCAAGTAAATAAGAAAGTAACACTCCGCGGACATTGTGTAATATTGCTCTTTAAGACTCTTGAATAGTCGCTGTGTGACACATTCGTCGACTCGACGATCGTACCGAAGAAGTTAAAAAACCCGAACCGAAAACAGGACTGAAACCGAACCGAAAAACATTTTCGGTTCGATTCCCAATCAGCAGACAACGTTTTTTAAATGTTTTTTAAACGTTTATTTCTCATTAACTTGACATTTTTCACGATTCGTTTTCAAAATTCATTAATTTAATGTTTATTAAATGTTAATTTTACACTATAATTTTTTATTTGAAATAAATATTTGAAAAAACATTGTTTAAACATTTATTTAATGTTTATTTTGAATTAACTTTTATTTGAAATAATGGTTTGAAAAAAACATTTTTTAAACGTTTATTTAACGTTTATTAAATATTCATTTTACGTTAATTATTCGTTTGAAATAAAAGTTTAAAGAAACATTTTTTAAACGTTTGTTTAACGTTTATAAAATGTTTATTCTACATTATTTATTCATTTAAAATGTGGTGATAAGGAACATTTATTTCACGTTCATTTAAATTTAAAACGTTTAGTAAATGTTCATTTCACATTAATTATTTGTTTGAAATAATGGTTTAAAGAAATATTTATTTATTGTTTATATTAAATGTATTTTTTAACGTGTTTATCTGACGTTTATTATAAATATGTAAAAAATATTATTTTCTAAAACTCTGAAATTAATAAAAAAACGGGTCAAAATAATAAAATGATCACAGAAGATAAATTAACACAATATAATTGCGTTAAGTGTACCATATATGGACAATAAGAACTGTGTGTATCAATAGTTATAAGTGGCGTAATTGATAAGGTACGAGATTCATAACCCCAAGGTCTCCCAGGTTCAAAATCCGACCGGTAAGTGAAAAGGAATAAAATATAATTAAATATTAGAATGTATTAATAAAATTAGTTGTCTAAGGTTGTAGGCACCGTTGAGAAGAAAAAATAAATTAAAAAAAAGATTCTATATTGTTATTTCTTCTAATTTTGTTTAAATAATTTTAATATTGAAAAACGTTTTTTTAACTTTAAAGGAATGTTTCTTCAAACGTTACAATAAACGTTTTTTTAATCAAAAAAGGGGACTTAATCCATTATTTTTAACGTTTTTAAAAATGTTTTTTAAATATTTTTAAAAATATTTTTAAAAACATTGTCTGCTGATTGGGTTCTGTATCGGTCCATTAGCCTGCACAATATTTGGGTCTGGTTATCGATTAAGGTCCGGTCATCGGTTTCGGTTTCGGTCCGGTCCGAGTCCCTGCCTGTTAGTCAGAATATGAAACAATGGAAAGACAAGAATATAAATCACTCTACGCTATTCACACATTCTTATAATTTTCTATAAATAATTCGCAAATATAGATATAGATCGTTTATATATTGTACATGGAATACAAAAAAAGAA